TAGCTTGCGGAAGCGGTGGTGCTCTGTCACCGCGGCCGGTTGTTCGTTTTCCCGGTGTTAGCCTGGTTATTCGTCCTGTGGGTTTGTCCGACCTTCCTGGCTCTGTGAGCTGTTTGCTAAAGTGTTTACGTGGCCAAGAACCACGCAATGTGCCGCACGCCCCAAAAGGCGAAGAAGTTGTTCTGGAAGTACTTTAACGTTCTTTGGCCGCATTGCATAATGGCGCTGGGTGCAGCTAAGCGTGAAGCTGTCCCGTAACCTCTGCTTCAGCCCTTCTAGATTCCCTCTTCAGCCCCTACCACCGACGACGTGATGTAGGCCACTATCGGGCACCCTGTCGGAACCGTAAACTGCTTGAGGACTGCTGAGAGTCAGAGGTTAACAACCGCTCCGGTGCAGCGGGAGAGGGCAGTGTTGGTCCGGCAGGACAGAGTTCTGTTAGTGTTTCCAGGTTTCCCCTTCAAGTGTAAGGGGAATATCCGAATTCACCCTGTGTAAGAGCCAGTACAACAGGCAGGTTTAGCTTGGGAGGGAACGTGAGCTTGCCTACGCTTAAGAGCTGAGTTCGTGGTACCAGAGTCACTTTTTCAGTGAAGAGCGGGCATCTGCTAATGGGGAGAGCTGGGGAGCTTGCTGTTATCCTGTATAAAGACCTTAAAGGAGCCTTTCACAGCAGGAGTAGCATTGGGAGAACATCTGATACCCTGCCGCTGATTCTGAAGTAAACAGCTCATTCTTGAAACCTTTTGCTGTAATGAAAACGTCTCCTGATCCTTTACTCTTGCAAATCTGTTCCTCCCCCATGCTAGTCTGGGAAAGCTGTTTTGAAAGTAAACTAAAAGTCCTAGTACACCTGGTGTTAGCTGGCTGTGTTGACTGTCCTCCGGTCTCCACAGATGTACTGTGCTAAATTTTCTATGTATCAGTGAGGAATTCACAAAAGTGAACGTTGCTCATTCATCAGAAGTGAGTGTTGCGCGTGCTGTGATCGTTCTTCAGATGTATACACAGAATAATAAATTACTTTTTTATTCTGAAATCTGTTATCCAGAAACTGTCATATAGCTCTTGAAGTGGTTGAAGTGCCTTATTTCTGAAGGGAACAGGGCAAGTCTGTTGCAAACCTCACTGATGCAAACCGACAAAGGTCTTTTCATATCTCCTTATGTTTCTTGAAAGTGAAGCAACAGTGCCAATATTTCTAGCCTGATCCTACCATAACCAGGTGGATTCAGGCTTAATTCAAATAATGAGAATACTGGAGTTAGTTAATGCATTTGTAGTTGTTATCTTGAGATGTAAATTACCATACTGATTGCCAAAGATCTGTGAATAGCAGTGTTCCCTTCACTAGGGAGCAGAGCGGAGAAAAGTGAAAGGTCATCCAAAGGTGCCTGGAGTAGGTGGATGTGATGTGAAATGTGCTGGAGAGTATGCGGTGTAAGGAGTTGTGGGTTGTATGTGGGTTTTCTGAGTATGATGGCCATATGAGTAAGTCTTAATTAAAACTAATGCAGTAAAATTGTAGATTGGGCAGAAGATCTTACTTGATCCAGATAGCGGATGTGTTGCCATTGTGGTTTTAAGGCAACAATGTTTGACTGAGACTGACATAAAAAAAGCAGCTGGACTGGTTAGGTTGCTGGCTTGACGAAAATATGAATAGATGGACTTGCTGCTCGCCTTTATATGCGTTTGTACATGAAGTCCTCTAGGTTCTTGTCTTTATTTCCCTTACTTTGGTTGCTTTCTACTGTAGGGTTGTTTATAGCTGGCTCTATTACCTAAAGGAAAAATGTAATCAAAAGGAACAAAGCTCTTACCATCTGAGGTTTCAATGAACTCCTGCAAAATTAATTTGGTGGACTTTGGTAACTTCACTAGTATATCCTCTACTATCTGAGTTTACTATAGTTAGAGGTTGCATGAGGCATGATCTTGGTGTACGTGTGGGGTTTGGTTTCAGAGTATCAGTAGTGTCTGAAGGGCAACGTATTTGTGTCTTGTCAAATGCATTCCTAAGTTGTAGCTTTCAGTTGTAGTTAGTTCAGTGAGAAGGATTGTGCCTTAACCTGGGAGATGTACGTATGGGAAGGTATGGATCCAAGACTTGTTTCTGTGGGTTGCTCTTTTTTCAAAAGTCACTCTTTTGACAGTGGTAATTTTGTCCTAATCAATGCTTTTTTTTTTAGGTATCTGTGAATACCTTTCTAACTGCAGTTCGTGTATTGGTAATGACACAGATGTAACAGGCTGCAAGTGGATCAGATGTGAAAGTAAGGAGGACTACACAGTGCAGATCCTTACTGTGCCATGTAGAACCTTAAACCAAACTAGACCTACTTCATCTGTATTAATGTTCATTACACAAATATACTGTTCTTTTTGATAACCTAATGGAACATTAACTCATAAGTTGTACCTGTTATTAAACATTTCAAGTTCATATGTGGAGACAGCTGAACGTGTTCAAAATAATCCCAGATTTTTAAGGCTTCTGATTTAAATCTGTGCTGTTGATAAGCTAATGTTTTCCAGATGGTTCAGAATGTTTTTAGAACAAACTAGTCGCTTGTGTTTGCTGTTAAGGAGTCATGAGTGAATTCTGACATGCAGGCACATCCCTGTGCTTCAGTCCCTTGAGGTTTTGTGACCTGTTCACAACTACTACTCCTGAGCTGAAGTGCAGTAAGGGAGAGGAGTCCGTTAAATAAGATTAGTTAAGAGTAGTGTTCCTGAAACTAAGAATTGCAACCCACTGAAGGGAACATGACAGAGCCAAAGAAGCATTAGCTGGTCTCATTCAGAGCCTTGCTTTTCCCACTGTAGGAGAGTTGAATGTGACTACATTTGGGTGACCTCTGGTACTCGGTCCTGGAGGAGGTAAAGTTGCTGTTGACAAAGTCATACAAAGACTACATAAGTAGTCCTCAGGTGGATTATTTGTACTTCTTATGTGAGGTGGAAACAGGATAAAGAGGAGAGAATGGCTTGACTGTAATAGTGATTTTTGTAGCACTTGACTGTAGATGACCAAGAAGGTTATATGTGAAGGCTAAGATGCTTCAGAACTAATGAAAAGAACTTTGGATATAATTTGTCCAGTACAAGAGTGTCCTTTAAGAAGCTCTTTTTCTGAATTCTGCATGTGTTGTCTGACCAACAGGCACATACTGCAAACACCCAAAAGATCTGTGTAACTTTGAGGGAGAGGTTGAAATCTGAGTCAAGGGAGAGAGGTGTGCAGGCAGAGAGTAAGAAACTGATGTCTTCAACAATTTCAAGGTCAAGGATCTGTTTGAAAAGCTGGAACTAAGTTCTGCTTGTATGTAGAATTTTTAAGACAGATTTTTTTTTAATGATGCCACTATAGAGATGCAAAATGTTTAACTTGAAAAATGCCACAAATAGTAGAAACACTGTCTGTAGGCTATGAAGAAAAAATATCAAGCTATACTGTTATTGCAAAATGGTGCATACCATGTATAAGTATTGCTTAAGTGTTGATTTGAGTGGTAGAGTAACTGTAGTGAAAGAAAATACTAAAACTCTTGTAACTTCTATTTATTAATATAATACTGAAGTCTTGCATACTGAAGTGGCTTTAATGTTATCTTGGCTAGAAAGATGGTGTTTTGTTTGTCCTATGAACAGTTTGTTGGTATTTAGGAACAATGTCTCAAACACCTTAAAGTTCTGCTGCTGTAAATATTTTTGTCTCTTTTCTGACAGAAGACATGTGTGTAAATGAAACAGAAGTAGATTTGAAATATCGGACCTGTAAAATTGGAGAACAGTGTTCTTGTAAGTATTTAGATGTTCAGCTTTCGCGTTGTTTAATGTGAAGCAGTTGCGTTTACAACTCCTTCATCTGTTGACCTTTGTTAATATGCCTTCTACAATTTACATAAGCATGTACAGGTATGTAAATAAGCCCTTTTCTTCTGGCTTAAACTTATGATATGTAATACTGAAACACACAATTTCATTGTGCATTCAGTTAACTGCTTGCTGTTGCTGTTTCAAGAAGCCTGACATATTTTACTAGACACATGCCTCTGGCTACTGGGTGACGCTTCCTATTAGATACAGCATATCCTAAGGAACTTGTCAGCATCCTCAAGACAGTAAGCTTCATATTCAATGTAAAAAGTTTCACCTGCTAAGTCCATTGCTTCATCTGAGATGCAGTAAATAGGAAAAACTTACGAACCTTCTGGTTTGAATTGTTAACTTGCACAGCTCTTCATGCAGTCCTGAAGTGCAGGGTCTGGGCTATAGAACTGCGTAAGGTAAATCCTTCATGCTAGGGATGTGCTCAGTTGCATATCTACTTCAGTCTTTTCATTAATTTGTGCTTGCTGTGCAAAGTGGATTTGCAGGATATGAACAATTTCGATTAAATCTTGAATTTCACTTTTGTGAAAGCCCCCCAGTTTTAGTTTTTCTGAAAGCTGACAAGAAATGGACTTCAAAATAGGATTTTCTGGTTTTAAGATCCAGAACAGCAAATGAAAATTCTTAATATTCTTGTCTAGATGAGTTCAACAGAGCTGCTGAAGAGGCTGGCTCACACCAACAGAGATGAAGCTTCCGTGCTGCTATGGGCTTATCTTGTGGTGGTGGCAGCCAGTCAGAAGTAATTCCGCTTGACTTGGACTTCTGTGTTGTTTCTGAAATTGTAACAATCGCCTCTTAATCAGGAGTGTTAAAAGTACCATTTTTCAGTGCTTTCCAAAGAGAGCATGCTGTCACAATGCCTTGTTCTATATCTAAGAGTAGAATTTCTACAATCTGTTCCTGTTAAACTCCTAGTGACATTATCAGGTTGTTGTGTTCTAGTTTCTGCATATTCAAGGAAACTTGTCACCTTTAGTAGAGGATCTTTGGTGGTGTGAGAGGAACCTGTATACCTTATCAGCTCAGTGTCATGGCTCAGCACTACGCTCGGGGATTGACATGGAAAAACATTAAGGTGGACCTAAACTGACTTGATGCAAGTGGGACCTGAGAGAATGTAGACTCTGCTATATCCAGCCTATCTCTGTAGAAACAGTTGGCTCTGGTTTCCCACCATGCTGAATTGTTTCAAGATGTAAATAACCACATTTAAATGACCCTGAGCATTAAAGGCTTCTGGACATAATGGTATTTCGGCAGGAAGCTTGCTGATGTATCAGTGTATGATTAAGCAACAGTTTATGTCTGTGTGTGATTAACTGTCCATGTGTGATTAACTCAGTTAACACAGTAAGTTGCAGAAGGCTTTACAGCTTTTTTTTACAGCACATGCTGAAGCTGAGAGCACCTACAACCAGCAACAGCTCTCAGAACAGAAAGCTTTAGCTAAACTTTCAAATTCTTGAGGATGTCTTGGTTTTCCCCCCATACTGCTTCAGCTGTCTAACCACTCTGATTTCTAGTTCAACTTGATAGGTCAGGTTCAATTTTAGTTGCAGTGAGGTTGGGAAGCAGTACTGAATACCTAGTTTCCTATTGTGTAAAGCATGCACAGTTTGTGCTTGTACAATAGGACTCTTCTCCCTTCTGTTTGCTTTGAGGAATCTTGAGTTGCCAGTTGAACGCTGGCTTGATTGGGCTGCCTGTGACAAGGTTTTTCATGTATTCACTTGTGCAACTTTTGCTGTTAGCATGGTGGTTTGAACATTGAACTGCTTTGTAATTTCAAACCAAAACTACAATAGAACTCGGTGCTATATGAATTCCCTAAAACTCATCCTGCTGCTGTTCCTTTTTTTCGTTAAATTCTGTCATTAATCTCTTTAATGTAACTCTTTATTCTTTTGTAGTTCCTACAGATGTTCCTCTTTCCAGTACTACTACGCCGTCTTCCAATACTACTACACCACCTGCCAATACTACCACAGCGTCTTCCAATACTACCACAGCCAGTCCTGCTACCACAGCTCATACTACTATAGGTAATGTAGTACCGCTGAACACAGAATGGCAGTAAACTAGGAACTGGTGAATAAAATAAAGGACAAAGGCTTTTTCCACAGATCACTGGAGTAGCATAACTACGAAACATCTGATGTATGGAATACATAAATGGTCCCAAGGTTTGGAAGAAGCGGATTTTATAAAACGCTAACAGAGAAAATGCTTCTTTCCCATATAATTAAGAATTGGCTCAGTGGTAATTATTTGAATTAGATTAGTCATTTCCACTAATCATGAGGTCTTATGAGTGTGAACTGGGCAACAAAAAAACCCCAAAAATTTCTGTTCTTACTTGTACTGCCATCTTAACAGTGGAGTTTTTAAAAAAAAAAAAAACAAAAACAAAAAAAACAACTCTAAAAGCATCTGCTGCTTAAGGGAGCTGGGGGGTAACAAGTTGGTATTTGATTAGGCTCAGAACAGCCTAATGTACAGTAGGGTGATGTGTAGCTTTGAGTAAACCTACAAACGTTGGCACTTGTCCCAGGCACATAGTGGAATACTGAATAATTTTTAGTAGTACTAATCTGGGGGGGATGGTCAGAGACCCAGTCTTCTGGCTTGATAATGGAAGAGCTTTTAGGAGATGGTCTAGCTACAGGTGAGTGTTAGCTTATTCCAGTGATGTCATTCAGAGTTTTTTGGGGACAGGGAGAAAAGAGGAAGTTTTGCTATCCTGTAAGTGTTTATCTCCTGTCTAGAGATACTACATTAAGTACTTTTTTTAGTACAATAAACACTAACTGATTCTAAGGGCTGTCTAATGAAAGTCTTTTGCCTTGATGCAGATTCTCAGTTGTCTTGAAGCAGCTGTCTTGATTCTTGTTCAGATACCAGCATTTATATTAGTGCTTGAAAGAAAAGTGGGTTTGGCTGAACAAAGAATCACTGTCTGATCTGTGGAGAACCTTGAAATATTTGGATAGCAATGGTATGCATGTTTAAAAAAAAAAAGTCCTTATTGCAGAAACTTGGCTTAATGCTGTGCAGCTGAACATCTAAATTGTGTGGGCTACAGTCTGAGGTCAAAGCTTATCCTTGTTTAAGCAAAACAAGACAAATCATTTACATGAGAACTTCAGTGCTTGCAAACTTTGCTCTTGAAGCTTATGGTATGTACATATTGTCTTCTCTCAAACAGCTAACATCACCAATGTAACTACACATGCTCCTCTACCTACAACTACCATTACTTCAGCCACCACAACAACCAGTATTCCAGGTAACTGCTACTTACTAGCATAATTAAAGCATCAAATACTTAGAAATTAGTGCTGCTTTAAAAGAGTTATCTTGAAAGACTTACCAAGTGACAACATTAAAATAGTATTGGTATATCTGCTGTTGTCACTTCTAACTTTATGGCATGTCTAATTTTGTTAAGGTGATGTATGTATGTAGCAAGGTAATACCCTGAGAAACAGAGCTAGTTGGTGAGATATTAAAAGCCAGAAACATGTTGGTCAAACGAAATCAGCTGGCTGCTTTTAATAGTGTGGCTGGAAGTCACTTGTTAACTCACTTATCTTTGGGAGGTGGTATCTTGTTTTTCACTTGCAGTGTGATAATGGGATACCTATTAAAAAAAAAAAAAGATTAGGCTACAGTGATGGGAATAAGCTGAAGTATTTTATTTCGGCATCAGTCCTGAATATGCTATTTCATGAAAAGCTCTCATGAAGTAAAGCTGTTTAAAACTAGCCATCAGCAGATGGCTGTTACTTCCAGATTCATATGTGTTGTGGCTTCAGCTGATTTCTCTAAGCATAACTCTTGGGGTAAAGTACAGTAGATGGAAGATAATTTAATTTGAATTAAGCAAAAAACTGTAGCAAGCAGCAGAGATTGGAAAATGTGTTTTGAATGTGAGCATATCAATATACTTCTATGTAATGGAGGAAAGCTTTGGGTTTTTGAAGTACAAATAAAGTCCAGCTGGGACTTGCTCAGTATTGAGGTCCGGAGCAGTTTGGCTATAAATAGCTCTAGCCTTGTACAAACAGTATTTAATCAGAATTTCAGTATTGCTAATCTAAATGCAGCTGCTGACATGTCTTTACTCTTGATTATTTTTTGTTTTCTTATTGGTGTTTGGATGTTTCAAGTAATCTTAATACAAGGAAGCCAATACTAAAATCTGTAAAACTATTGTGAGCATTGTGCACTCACAAACTCTTAATGTGGTGTTTAACAGGTACAAATGCTACTGTGACTCCTGCACCTTCTCCACGCAAATCTACATTTGATGCTGCAAGTTTCATAGGTGGAATTGTCCTTGTTCTGGGTCTGCAGGCTGTTGTTTTCTTTCTGTACAAATTCTGCAGGTCGAAAGACCGAAACTACCACACGCTTTAGGACCTGCCACTTTATAATGGACTAGTAGCCCAACACCTGTAGTTCACTGAACCAAAATATTTTCTGTTGCTCGTGGAAGACAGCAGTTCATATCCTTTAAATCTCTAAAAGAAGACTTTAAAAGAATATTTTTGCAACATTATACTTGGCAAGAGGTGATACGAATCTCTTCAACAGGATTACTTGCAATATGCTGCATGGGTTCTAATGGCTGTCTTATTTTCCTTTAGTGGCTGCTGCTGTGGGACTTTTTTTTTATATGCCAAATGTAGACATTTAGAGATTCTTATTCAGTGGCAACACTGTCTTGAGTAGACAATCTCATGATGACTTATTGTGAAGGCTAATTTAATCAACATTTGATACAGTATCCCTTCAGTTTTATCAAGATGTGAATTATGGGTGACTGACTTCAGGGAGTGAAATACCGTTTATACTAGCTTGTGGCTCTTCAGCGTGCTGCTAGAAAGATGAACAAAATTGTAGAAGTAGATAATGTCTTAACAGAATAACATAACCCATAATTTTTTTTCACAAGAATAAAGGTTGCCTGATAAAATACTGCATTCCAAATAGAAATCCTGTGCCCTTTCCAATTAATGTTGAGAGGGGATGTAGGGATAATCCTTCTAAAAGGGAAATGAAGATTAGTGCCTTAAAAGACTAAAAATCAGTAGGCTGCAAAAGCATCCCACCTATCTCAAAGATAAATAAAACTAAATACTGGCTTTATATCGGAGAATGGAATACCTGTGACTTCAGCGTTCCAGTTTAAAAACTTTTTACACTAAATAACTGTCCCTTATTGACCTTGTTTGAGGGTGAGGGTGCATGGTACAGTGATGTTCAGCTACAAACAGAAGCTTTAAGTTGTTTACCTCTTGTTCTGGCCTACAAAGACCAACTATAAAACTAGTGATAAAATTCAGTTCACTCCCTGTATGAAAAGGCAACAGCTTACATTTATACTTGAAATACTGGTGTTTGGGAAATCCTGAGGTTTTTCTTATTCAAATGGTTCTTAAACTCGTCGCAATTAACTTTGGGGTTTGCGTTTTTTTCTTTTTTACCCTCCTGTATGTCTGCTTGCTGAAGTAGCAATTAAGGGTAGTTCAGAGGATCTGCTGATTCGATCCTAGTCAGGATTGCTGTAGTCCTGGGGCTGCCAGGGCTACGCCTTTTTTCTTTCCCCTCCCTCCTTCCTGGCTTCAGGTTCGTGTCACCCTGCAGTGAACTGGTTAAGGAAATCTCTTTGGCCAAATAGTTGGGGTTTTGTGTTCTTCCCCCCCCCCCCTTGGGGGGGCCAGCCCCGTGTTCCCCGGGTAAAGGCTGGACCAGCCATGTGATCCGAGTATCAAAGGTATGTCATCTCCAATGTAGATTGACTTGAGCACCTGTGAAAATAAACACACAGGAAAAATGGCAGTAAAGATAAAATCAAGTGGTGGACGTAGCACATAATACATGCATAGCTTTTGATGCTATTCCTTGATCATCAATTCCAGGATAATCTGTAGAACTGTCTTACTAGCTCTGACTTGACTGGAATTTGGCACCCAATACAAAATGATAGCATTAATGCAGATAATAGTCATGGCAGCGGAACTTAAATATGAAGCAAATTAAGTGCACTTCAGTTGGAAACTTAAAGTACACAGTGTTGCTTTCTTGTGTTCTTCTAGTTTGAATGGCATTGTTTCTATTGTGCTGCATAGAAAACCCAAATTGCTACAAAATACCGAAGCTACTCACCAGTACTGTATCTTTGAGTTCATTAGCTTTTGGTTTTCTAAACAAAACTAAGACAATCAGCTCAGGTTTATTAAAACAGCAGAGTGAGCAGCCAGTTTCCAGCAACAGTGTGTGTGTGGGTTAGATAGTATATCCTTGGCCTTATTGTGAAATCACTTCATCTGTCCTTTCCCTATCTCAGAACTATTTTATTACATTTATTTGTTTAAAAAGATATCAATGAGCTTGTATTCTGTGCTTTGAAGTGAGCAAAACACTCTTCTAAATTGTGACAGTTTTCCTTCAGCTCAGCAAACTGTATGCCTAGTGTGTAATTTTTTTGGCCTCAAAAGGGCTATCTTTTGGGAAACTTGCAGAAAAGTGCTACAGAACACTTCATAGCATGGAAGACTTTGCCACAAAAAAGTTGTTGCTCTGTAAAGTGTTGCTAAAATGCTTATTCATGAGCTATGCTGATCCTGATTTAGGTTGCTGGTAAAGTATGCTGGTAAAGCAAACTAAAAGTAATTTTTAAAGTGCCTTAAAGTTGCTTAATCTTTTGCCTCAAATTTTGTTTAAAAGGGTAGAAGGAATACCTTGCCTTAGCTACGAATTTTTTCTTGGTGCCAGCAATTGCTACTTTCCAAGACTTTAGGAAACCCAGGATCTCTGACATGTACAGATGCCAGTCTGAAAAACTCAAGCATGTACTATATCAATTTAGTCATGTTCTGGAAGGCCTGCACTACGCACCGCTTGCTCATTAGCCTTGCCAACAAGGTATAATCCACAGTTTACAGAGTTGTGGCTCGGAGCGTTTCCCTTTCAGTTGTTTGGGAGGAGGGGAGGCTGGGTTATACATCTTCACCATGTGCTTGGCTGCCTCACTATAGAAAGCAATTACTCCTTTGTGAAATGGCAGTATCAGCTGATCTGTGCTGTGTACTAGCAAAAAACCTGAAGTAACAACTTCCAGTTTTTCTTGGCCTTGTGTTTTGAAGTGGAAGGTAGCTCATAGATCTGTAGTTGTATTTGCCCCTAAATCAATTTTAGGCACTGAACTGTAGTGACTCTTCAAGTTATCTGGCTTTTTCTTGAAGCCAACTTGTGCAAATATCAAGCTGTTATCTTATGAATGTTCTCTACGAGTGTTGCTGTAAAAGTTTGTATTTTGTCTTCAGTGGAAGAAAACTGAAACAGTTGTAATCGCAAAACCAAATTGATAAATAAAATCTGTTGAATGGAATTTTACTTGTAAACTTTCTTTAATGTGAACAATCCTAGAGGGGACTGTCTGCTGACTTTCTGGAGAGAAGAGCTGTTTTCCGTAGGAATTGAGAAACACTGTAGGGAGAGAATCATAGAATCATAGAATCATTAAGGTTGGAAGAGACCTCCAAGATCGACTCCAACCATCAACCCAACACCACCATGCCCACTAAACCATGTCCCTAAGCGCCTCATCTACCCATCTTTTAAATACCTCCAGGGATGGGGACTCAACCACTTCCCTGGGCAGCCTGTTCCAATGTTTAACCACTCTTTCAGTAAAGAAATTTTTCCTCATGTCCAATCTAAACCTCCCCTGGCACAACTTGAGGCCATTTCCTCTTGTCCTTTCGCCAGTTACTTGGGAGAAGAGACCAACACCCACCTCGCTACAACCTCCTTTCAGGTAGTTGTAGAGAGCGATGAGGTCTCCCCTGAGCCTCCTTTTCTCCAGGCTAAACAACCCCAGTTCCCTCAGCTGCTCCTCATAAGACTTGTTCTCCAGACCCCTCACCAGCCTCGTTGCCCTTCTCTGGACACGTTCCAGAGGGAGAATGAAAGGTTTGAAGAGTTAAGTTAGCTCTCCTAAATACAGCATTAACTTTGCATTTGGTGTGTGCAACAATACCAATTCAGATTTAGAATTGTCTCCAAAAGAATTCTCATTTAGGTCTTTTCCATGTTAGTTTAACCCTGTTCTCCCCTTAATAAATGCCTTGCTGTTCTTTGGCTTTAAGTGTTCTGCTTGCAACAACCTGTAAGGCTTAATGCTCCTCTCCCCAATAGCAAAGCTTATAACACTGGGTGTCAGCCTGTAAGGTGGAAGAGGGACTGCAGACTGTGGTTCCAGGGAGGCTGTTAATAACCCCTACATTGTAGCATCCTTTCACATTGAGATCTTTGACCTTCATGAAAAAGGTATTGCTCTGAGCCTTATTTCTTTCCTGATTGCATGAGAAAGAGGAGGATATTTGCTAGGGCATAACTGTCAGTATGCTTGAACAAGAGAACAGAGGGTGCAATTCTGTAGTTGCAGACTGACTAAAATGATAACCAGCCCTGAGTGAAGTAACCTCAGCAGTTTCACATCATGACCTTGATGCTTTTGTGGGTAGCAAATGAAGTGTGAATGTGTCACTAGGTAGTATTGGCATAACTCATCTCATGTTATGGGAAATTGCAAAAGCTTCAGTAGTGATTCTGGAAAGGCTGTATGGAAATGGAGGAAACCTAGAGCTTCCTGATGTGCTTAAAATTGCTATGCCTTCCAGAAAATCCGTTTACTGCACGCCATCAAGGACTGATGAAGTTTTTGTTGCAATGCAGCACTGAAAGCCTGTGCACAATTGTATCACTATAGTACCAGTCTTGTGTTACTGCTGTTCTTTGAAGATAGTCTTGTGTAGGTAGAGCATTCATTCAAAAATCATCTTTGAATTTTGCTGTATTAAGTTGAGTAATACTTGAAGTATTTTATCGAGAAGCTGTAATGAGCCTGAGACAGCCCTTTCGTTTTTACTGCTGCAATGGCACACAAGTGCTTCATACTGATGATACTGTTCTACTTCCAAATTGGCATCTGGTTCCTGGAATGTGCTAGAATCACATTTGATGGCTTCTCCAGTGACAGCTGACCTTGGAGATTTATCAGTCACCTTGTCATTCATTTAAGGCATACCTTAAAAAGAACTCATGTTATTTGATAACTGATTCTACAGCATTCTGAGTATACTGTGACTTGTTTTGATGTAGCAGTAAGCTTTAATGAAATAAAGCTTGTTTCAGTAATGGTGAAGGATATCAGCCTTATTCTAGGAATCCTCTATCTCTAAATACTGCAGCATTTCTAACAGAAGTTAGAATTCTTCACTCAGTGTTCAACCACTGCAATGCTGTTAAGGGTTGCCTGAATTTAATTCTAGGTTTTAGTTATTTATAAAAAAGACTACTGAGGTATTTGATTATTTATGCTCACAAGCATCCAGGGATGTGGATGATGCTAAAAGGCACGTAGGTTAGTATTCTAACTCATCAAAAGCTGCAATACAATTTGACATATCTCTGAAAGACCACTTTGAGTCCTTTATTGGCTAGGCAATAAAAGCAAGCTTTTTTCCATGCAAGAGAAATACAGATAAACTTATGCTTTTGTTTTGTTTTGTTTTCTTCTAGTTAGTGTAGCATTGTGCAAGGAGCTGCCCTTCTTCCCTTTTCTAGGTGGTGGGGAGGGAAGGTGCTGGGCAAGGTGGAGACACTTTTGATGAGTCATCTTTAAACAGGCATGAAAGGTTCAGTGTACAGGCAGCAACGTCTGGGGGTGAGAGCACTGCCTTGGGCAGGATGTGGTGGTCAGGGGTTGCAATAGGAAAGCAGTTAAAAAAAACCCAAACCAACAACAACAAAAAGCAACGAAACACCAGACCCAGTGCTTTTGCTCTAAGCATTTAGCTGTGTTTTGCACCACCATGTTCCGAGGTTACCACAATAAAAGGAAGCCTTTTAGTTTTGACTGATATCCTTGCCTTTCTGTACTGTGCTGCATTGTCTGTGAAGGGAGGACATGCAGTGCTGCTCTTGCTCAGGAGGAGGATCTGCATCAGCCAGTGCCTAAAATGGATTAGATTAACTGACTGGAGCTGGTATTGAACACTGCATCCAAATATGTTGAAGTACCTATGCACAGCACCGGAATATTACTGCCTCTCTTTGATTTGTATATGAATTGTTCTTCTCTTACTTAAAGGTTGCCAGTTCAGTAGCGTTTTCTAAAATGCCCTGGACTGATTGAAAATACATTTAGGCTTACTTCTAGACCAGCCTTTGTTTCCGTAGCTGCATGAAGACAGTAGGAAGAGACTTTTCATTTAGGTGTGGTAATAGCCTATCTGCTGTTCTTTCCTTCCATCTGCTAGGCACCTGAAACATAAGTAACGTACAAAAAAAGTCACCAACCATGGCATGGTACTAAAAAAAAAAAAAAAAGAAAAAAATCTTTCCTGGACCATTGCTAACTAAATACCTCCTTCTTGTCCCCTTTCCTTAGTCAATTTTTGGAACATTTAGAACATGTTTTTTCCTGTTTGCTAGCCTTACATACTGGTCACCTTGCTCTTAAATATAAATCTTCAAAGGGATTTGACTTACTGTCCAGATGAAACCTGCCTGGGTATATATGCAAATCAGAGCTTTCAAACTAGCAAAAAAGTTGCTCATTTTGCAACCATATTAGCTTATTACCAATGCCACCATTACTTACTGTCTTTGGTCTTTGAGTGTTTCCTTCTGTTCCATTGCTGCTTCTTGGGTCAAAATTCAAAGGATGCTGCTGGTAGTCCCCATGCTGAGTGGATCCTGAAAGCTTGTTACTCTGGACCTGAGCTGCAGAACCTGGAGTGTTATCAACAACACAGAGTTAAAGCAGAACTCAGGTAAATGCAAAAGCTGTTGTTTCTGACCTCTAAGCAGAATGTTAGGGGGAAAAGAAAAAAAAACACACCATCAACCCAAAGCAAGTTGTGAACACTCAGCATAGTACTAATAGAATAATAGACTGCTTGGTCTGGAAAAAGTGGTTCATGTATGATCTTGACACAAAGTAGAACAAAAACTATTTGCAACTATCTGCAATTTTTGCAGCTCACCCTGTGCCCTTTTCATTCATAGTAATGAGTGTATCAGCATTTATTCCTCCAGCAGGAAACATCTTAGTGAAGCAGAAAATTCTTGCTGCCCCAAGTCTACTTCATTATATGTGACTGTTTTCCCCACAACTCATGTCTTTCCCGGTCTTGTTGAAAACCAAGATTAAAAGGGGTGGGTGTGTGTTAATGATCTGTTCCCAGTGACACTAAATTCCCTAGTGAATTCCAGTCTTCATCTTTGTAGATTTCTGAAAAGCAGAGATGCAGCCACTTAATGCCAACCCTTCAGCCACTAAAAAAAATCCCCACTGCATCAAATGCTGTGCTTGCTATCAGCCATAGTGTGGTTTAACCCTGATTTGTATCTGTGTACAATGTGGTGTTGCTATACCACTTCTTAACCCTATGATAACCTTTCCCACTAACTTTAGGTAAAAAGGTGAGGGTATTTTTGCTGTGTAGCTGTAATCCTGCACTTGTTAATTGAGACAGTGTTCTTCCTCCTTCTCAGATATTATCCAAGATGTTTCAGACCGCATTACTTAGCTGTTTCTGGCATTATACCAGGGGGCATGTCCAAGGGACTCTGGCACTCTGCTGAAGCAGCAGGAGAGCAGCTGGCAGCTGCTCAGGGTGCACAACTACCCAGTCTGGTCAGACTGCGTTCAGCGTCCGTGTGTTCTGAAGCAGAGACTTGACAGGACTGATTGCACAAGCATCACACGAACCCAGAAAGAAGTGCAGCAACTGTCTTACGCTACTGAGACAAGCCATGGCTCAGTGCATTTGAGAGGGAAGAAGAGGAAGATGTGAAGATGGGGGAGAAGGAATGGAGAAAAAGCTAGAGAACATAGCTCAGACTGCTACTCTACAGATTATTTTTACAAACTGGCTGAAGTCTTAGTCTATGTGGGCAATTCCTGGAGTTGACATGACCTGTTTCAAAAACACCTTTGCCTTTACAGTCAAAACAGGGCTACTGCAAGTAACAATTGCCACACCTATGCAAATAGGTCTGGCCAAATGCTATAGGTCTGAAGTCAGGTTAGTGGCACAGTGCAACTCAGATTAATAGAAAAAAACAAATCTGTATGTGATGCAAGCCTGGATTGCCTTATGAGAAGTACTAGTATTAATGCATCAAAAAATGATAGCTATTTAATATTGACTTATTACCTGGAAACAACTTCTTATACTGCATGTACTATGGGACAACAGCTCTGCAGTCTTCCTTCTACCTTTTTGAAAGGAATAAAAAAAACCAAACCACCAAACCTCACAATGTCCATCTACTATTACAGACATAGGAATAAAAAAGTCACAAGTAAAAAGGTAGCTACAATACATTGCAGAGTTTTAACACATTTCAGACCAGGTGTCTATAGTTTGATGGCGCTCCTATGTTGAGCGTAGAGAAATCCAAGCTCCTCAGCCAATTTTTCCAGCTCTGCACCATGTTTAACAATGTAACTCACTGCAGGGAAAAAAAAAAATAATTCATCTCCTCTCTGTGGCAGATGCTTTCCTTGTGCTCAGCAGCATCAATGTGACTTACAAATTTTGTACCAACTTTTCCCCTGAACTTGATTGGTTTAAAGCCAGAGAAACCAAGTACATTTGTGCATTAATTAAAGATACCTCCCTGTTCTTTATTTCCCCATGTTTGGTTCGTGTCTTGTCTTCAGCAGTGTGCTAATGAGCATTTCTCAGTTTCCTGTGACAGGAATAACTAACATTTTCCTGCAGAAGGAAACTATAATTAAATTTGTAGTACTTTATATTCTTCATGGCATAGAAATGCACCTTGAAAGATCATTGGAGTTTTTTCCTGTTTACTTAATTTACTAGGAATTTAGGTATCACCCATCAATTTTTCTGCATGCGTTTGTCAGACTGACAGTAGGATTTTGATACCACAGAGGAAAGCAGCAACTTCAGACAGGTAGGAGTAGAAATCCCTAATCAAGCTTTTTAAGCTACATGAATTACAGAAGCATTACGTTAAAAAGTTTCCTAACAAACAGCTGAGAAGAAAGGTTTTTGTTAAAGATTTAAGTTCCAGGTTAATTCAGTTAAGGGCTAGAAAGCTCTCACTGCTGTTTTGAGATCCTCTAAAAATACCTGCAATCGTAGGCATGTATCTAATCGAATTACAAGGGTACAGTCGTCTTTGGCTGCCCCACATGATTTGTAAGTAAGCTGTTCCAAGACCAGAGCCACTAATGAAGCCTGATTTCCTACCACTTGGGACCCTTTGTTGCCTAATTGCCTCCTCCCCTAAATGCAGCTCCCCTCATATTTCCCATGATATCCCTACAAAGCAAAAGACAACACAAGTTACGGTTTAAAGTTATTAACTTGGGAGTCAGTGTTTCTTGTGCTGCTTGAGCAGCTGCGGTATAAGAAGGCATATGGCTTTTGAGTTGTCTGACTTTTCCTCAAGTCTGTTTTAGGTCTTTCTCCTCTACCTAAATGCTTTCATTACAGAGGAGGTCTTCTCTTTCATATTTGGCTTAAGTTGCCTATTGCTTCAAAGGTTAAGGAAGGATTCAGAGACGTGGACGCATAGCTCATAAGACTTATTTCCCCAAGAAAGCGGGTTACAACACACAACCTGTCTTTACCTGCAGTTGCATTCCTCTGAGAAACTGCAGCTTCCAGGTCATAAACTTGACACCGCAGTTCATCAACCTGCTGGAAGGCCTCCCATTTTAAACTGCACTCTTGGGTTAACTGGCTTCTTATCTAAAGGTGGTAAAAGGATTAATGGCAGCAACAAAAAATTCATCATCTGACAGCTCTGCCTCAAAGCAGGGGCCTAGATTTAAAGGAAAAGATGTTGTTGCCCTGTGCGCTCTTGTGAATGAGAGGCCATCACTTCTTGCTGGTTGAAATAATCCGTAATTACAGCTTTGCTAAACATAGCCATAATCCCTCTGAATGCAAAATACAGCACAAATAGTGCAAATTGACATTCTCGTTTAATAGGAATCTGCATTTCAGGCATTGCTGGAGGAAAATAAAAACAATACAGAGGCCTCTTCTCACTGTTCTCTGCATGTAACCCTAATTAGACAAGACCCTACCTCCATTTTCAGGGCAGAGGTACGTGGAAAAAGCAGCAGCTCTTCCCTCATCTCTCTAACAGACTCTGTAATTTACTAAGTTTAAATGTAGAGTTTGTTAGTGTTAATGACCTCATAGGTGCTAGCTGCAGCCGGGACTGTTGTGTGGCAATAAAAGCCTGCACACTGCAGTTGCCATTTTCCTTTCTGCTCTCCTCAAAGGCTGATCCAGCTGTTGACACCTCTGGTCTCTAGAAGGGTTATTTTGTAAACACAGCAGAACAGTTCAGAGCCCCATCAAAGACAGACACCAATGAAATCAGTGGTCTCGTGTCTGCACCAACTGCTTTGGCTGTGTAAAAGTCTCTCATACGATTTTGGTTAGAAAACATGCCAGCAGCCTAAGAAATTATTCCCAGCAGAATGGCATTTGTCATCCTGACTCTGGAAGACAAACGGCCCATGCTTTCACCTTGATGCTTTAGAGCATTGAAGACAGAATATACTTTGCTTGGTTTACAGGAGAGGCATTCAGATACATTTACAAAGCTTTTTTCTCTCTAGACCAAGAAAGCAAGGGCAAGGAGACTTCAGTGGCAGCAAAGTTGTCAGTTAGTAGATGGATTCATCCAGTTAAAGTCTAATCAAGTGGTTGCCAAACAATATTTTGTTCCGCAGGCTACACTACAAAAGAAACAGCACATTTCACAGCCAAGAGCCCACTCTACCAGCTGTGCTAAACACAGAGATTGTGTTTACTTGGCCAAATCAGTTTTTAAATTGAAGTAGTTAAAGCTCTACAGCTCCTTTTACAGGGAGATAATCTTAAAAGTGGATCTGGTTGCTCAGTTACACTAAGTGATTAGCAATGCAGTAACAGGTTTAAACTCAATACAGTACAGTACAATGGCATCAGTTTAGTGAAAACTAATGCCATTTCTGTGGCCAGACTGGATTAAAGCAGTTTCTTTCCCAATACGTTCATTTGGTAGTCCAGAATTTGGGAAAAAGTGGTGTAATGTATGTGAAACAGAGGTAAGGGCAGAGGGTTTATGTCAAATGCAGAGTAGATAAAGCAAAAGGATAGCAGTTTGTCAGCTCTGCAGCACTGGTGTCAAAGCCCTGCCTGGGCTATGTCACAGGGAGAGCCAGGGAAGCGACAGGCACTGCCCACCCAGGAACGTGGCCCCAGAAGGGAGGCAGAGCCTGAGTGAGGCTCCAAAGCCCCCTGTTTAGTCTGGTGACAAGGACTGCGGTTACAGCAGAGGCCTGGGGGACATCCCAACAGGGGATGCGCAGCTGGCTGAAGCCTCCAGAGCCACTGAGCCCAGCCACTTGCTGCTCTAGCTGCTGCACCCCTGATCCCCCCAGGGGTGCAAACATGTTCTGTCTAGCACCGCACACCCGTTCCCAGTGCCCCAGCGCCTTACACAAACTCTTAGGCAGTTTACCTCTAAAATAAGGAGAACAATATTCACTTTCTAGAGCAAAGATACTGAACCAGGCTCAACAGGAAGGCCCTGAGAAGCATCAGAAACACAAGATGCCACCGATAGGTGGAACGCGACCCTAAGCCCCCAGCAGGCAGGGCCCAGCACAGTGCCAAGGCTCATGCTGCACGACCCTCATCCAGGGCACATGGAGAGCTACAGCGAAGTTCTGAAGTTCAGATACTTGAAGGGATACACTCAGATGTGGTCAGACAGTCTTAAAACTTGAGACACCTCTCCAGAAATGCTACTGTTTTTATTTTTCAAATCTGCATTATGAGTTTACCTGCTGCAGTTCTTTTTTGACCCCTTTTTGTTGAAGATGGCATGTTTTAGAAGATTTTTCAGCTTCCTTGGTTAGGCAGTTCACTCTCTGCTCTTTTTCTTCCATCCCTTCAAGCATCTTCTCTATGTTTTCAGCTTTCATCGCACTGGGTACTTGTCTCTTCTTGGCTTCTTGTGTCTTCCTCTGTACTACTTCCAACAGCATTTGTTTCTACAACATGCAATCATGAAAGTTTCAGACTTAGATTGCTTTCCTCTGGTTCCCATACACACCTTTTTAGATTTCCTTTTAAACCCTGATGACCAGTCCTCAGACATCATGCCTAGCTGAGCTGAATGAGGAGGGACCCAGTCCCACATGGCTTGGTACTGAAGGTAATGAAATGTTGGTAAACAAACCTGAATTATCCTATGACCTTATGAAAGGACCGCAGTCAGACCTAAACCCAAAACAAAATCTGGGTTGTGGGAACGGGGCGCGTAAGGGAAGGGTAAGGGGGAGTGGGGACAGAATGCTGCATTTACATAGTTGCTTGTTAGAGAAGCCTCAAAACAACGTTCATGTGTAGAACTCATTCAGTTGCAAATAAACAAGAAGGCAGTTGCTTCCAGTTTCCTCAGTCTGCTGTAATTTGCTTTCTGCAGCCAGCCTCTGGTCTGTATGTGGAACTTGTTTTTAAAACAACGTATAAACAAGGAAAGAGAGGGGGGAAATGAGCACAGCTTTTTCAAACATTGCTGTTTATACACCGTTTGTAGAGACAGCCAGTAAGTAAAGCCGCATTTTAGAATCTGTACCACAATTGAATGCAATGGTGTTACAAGCCTCCCATATCAGGTCAAACCCTCCTGTACAGTCAAGGGTTGTGGAATGGAGTCTGCTGTTTGTAAACACCATCATCACAATCTGTAGCAAGGAAAGAAATTAGGAAGAAGAGAAGGAACCAGAAGTTGATGTCAGAAACCAAAGAAAAACAAAACAACAACAACATCCGCTAGAAAGATGGTAGATGCAGTGGGTCTTTTGGAAGTAAATTGACGGCTTGTCAGTGAAGAAAACCAATTTATCAGCCAAAGGCAACTCTGCTCTGGTGAAAAATCTGAACACAAAGAGCTAAAAGCAGTCACAGCCCAAACATTTTTCACTGGGGATCCCTCTAAGCCTTACTAAGGTTGGAGTTTCATAGATGGCTAGGCTCAGAATGAAGCAATCGAGCCAATAGATGTGACTTTTTAATAGGACATTTACCTTAATTACCCTTGTACTAGAATAAGCAAGTTGGTTTGGCTAAATCAGCTTTCCCAGAAAGGCATCCGATCTTGACTTGAAGCTGGTTAGACATATTGTCATTTCCACAGTTAATCACATTTTGAAAACATTTTTTCTAATTTCCCATTTTCAGTTTGTCTGGCCTCAACTTCTAGGCACCACTTCTTGTTATACCTTTCACTAAGAACCCTTTAATATCTGCTATTCTCTCCCAACAAAAATATCTGGAGACTGTAATCAAGTCAGTCTTCTTTCAGATAGGCTAAAGACATTGAGCCTTTTAAGGGCCCTCTGCTAGAAAGCATTTCCTGCAGCCCTCAAATAATTTTTGTAACTCTTCTCTGCAGTCTCTCAATTTTTTCTTCATCTTTTTTAAGTAGTACACTCTGGAACCAGCGGCAGTATTTCAGTGTGTTGTACATAGAGCTATAAACTCATTTTTAATATATCTGCACTATTCTCCTTTTTATAAGCGCAAAGATTGCAGCATCCATCCTTTCCAGTACCACACTACATGGCCAGCCATCTGTCTGTTACGACCCCTGTCCTGTCCAGGGATGCAGTCACCCTGTTGTGTACAAGTCCTGCTTTCTTCTCGTTCTTCATCTACTCAGGCACTGAAATACTTCTTGAAGGGACAACCAAGTTACCGAGCTATCTCTATGGTTCTGTACTCCTGCTCTGCCCACGTCGTTATTCACTAAATGTGCCTTATCAAATTCACTAACATTCCTCCCCAAATATGTCACTGGTAAATTTTATAATCTATAATTTTATATTTATTTCCAAGCCACTGACAAAAATGTTGAATACTGATAGTTATGCTACCAACCCCTGTAGAAATCCATCAGAAACCATCTTCATTTAATGAAAATAACACATTTTTATATGTCAAAAAATCTAGCTCTCAATCCATTTAGCATTTTTATTGATATTGTGTAATACTAAAATTTAAAATACAAAAGTTATGTGCTGCTAACCCAAGCGTTACGAGGCCTTTCCAAATATGTATTACATCTCTAGCATTATGTTTATCTATCTAACTTGTAATCTTATCAGCAGAATGAAATGAGGTTGGTTTGACAAGACTTATTTTCCATACAGTCATGTTGTTTGGCATTAAGTATATTGCAAATGAAGGGTGTGCTTTTATGTTTGACTTTGAGGAATGGGCCATTTTAGCATGGGTAGTCATCTGTAGAAGTGCAAGTGAGCTTGCTGTGGCAGTGATATATCCATGAAGGTGTTCAGATGGAAAAAAAAACATGCAATGAATTTGTCCTGGATTAAATGACAACATCCCTGAATGTTTCCTTGAAATTTAATGATTGGGTGGAAGACTAATAGCCTCAAGGTCTGTAATTTAATTTTTTTTTTATCTGTGGAATAAAATATTAACAGTGTCTTTTCCTCTACTAAAACATACATCCAGCACTGTTGATGGCATACATAAATGTAGTGCCTGTAGCTGTCATTTTGGTACGTGACTCAAACTTTATCCAAGATGCTAGTTTTTTCCCTAGTTCTCTCTACCTGCAACGATGAAAACACTCAGGCGAACGCATTGTTTCAATGCCATAAACTACACATCCAGCTTCAGTAACTGTAATATGCAGTTAGTTTTGAATCCATTTCTCTCCTAGAATCCTCATTAAAGCAAGTGAGATGGAGAGGAGAATTCAACTTGTTGCGCTGATGAATCAGGACCTGTTGAATTCAGATACCTGTTCATGTCGCTGTTTCTTTAGCTTGTCATTGTCTGCCCGAGATTTTGCAAGAGCTTTCCTTACAGACATGAGCTGATCCTGAAGCGAAGTCACCTCTTGTTCTGCCATCATCTTAGCATTCAGACACTCTTTTTTGTTTTGAAGAGCTTCCTGTAAACAGAAAGTACGTAAGAGAAACGATGATGAGAGCAGTGATTTTCTGTCTTTTACATAGCAGTGGGTTTCTTGAAAGGTGAATCTCTCAGAGATTTTTAGTAAAGTGAAATTGAATTGTTCCTGTTTTCTAAAAAAGGCTGGACCTTTTTTTAAGGCAAAATGGGGAACAGGATGGACAAGAGGGGTCCTCTAAAGGGAAAAACATAAGATAATCTTTCGTATGGGTACAACTGCGCATCTTTAATTATATTCACGTCACCAATTCAAGTTCTTGTGTGCAAACAAGCTCAGAGCAATGCAAAACTTGATCTTTCTTATGCATTAGGAAGACCTGTCCATCTACTAATCTGTTTATTCCTTCATTATCTCTAAATTCAAAATGTGTGTGATGAAGCTTGTTTTCCTTCTGGGCAGGGTCTTTTTGTTTGTTTTAAACACAAACATAAATATGTATACATGTTACTGTGTCAGGCACAGATTTAGCAGTCCTCTCTCCTTTCCAAGCCATTTAAACTGGAAAAAGCAGGGTCCGTGATCCTCTGCACTTGGAGTGGAGGACAGTGAAATACAAGTTCTTAGATCTTCAGGTTCATTCCAAAGTCAGACACAAGAAAGCTCTGTCTGAGCAAGATGAGCTAGTTTCTAATTTTAAAAAGCCAAATTTTCCCATTTATTTTTCTCCGTTTCAGACTTCTCTTTTAAATCCTGTGAAGATAGCTTATTTCTTATTTAAATCCACAAATTTGCAATAATTCAATCCATCTTTGACTGATCTGTTTAATAAAATATTCTAATGGTTTAGCATCTCCCTGATATAACTGAACTAAGTGTATGCACATCCAGTTTTATTTGGGTTTAAAATTAACAAGCACACAAAACCCATTTTGTTTTCACTCTTTTTAAGTTAACAAATATGATCCATTCTGCCTTTCCTTTGCTTGACATGTGCAGCTAATTAACCTATATGACAATCAATAACCTGTTTGTTCCATTCTAATCAGCCTCATTTAAAGCAGTGAGGCACTTTTCTTTCCATCCATCTTCACTTTAGTTTAATTTAGTCATTTTTGTGCTTCATCTTGTATTTCTGTAATTAAGTTTATAAACCTCATGCTGCGTTCTGCTTTGTTTAAGCAGATACCAATTTAAAAAAAAAAACCTCAGCCACCTCCCAAGCCAACAGTCTAGTTCATTTTCACTTCATGTCTGCCTGTCTTCTTTTTCATACGTTTTAGTCAGTTGTGGAGTAGTTGATTTTGATACAATGTCATAATTAGTCTTCTGAGTCAACACAGAATTAGGAATGCTATAAGCTACTCATACTTCCTAGATTCTTGCTTCAAGCAGGCATCGGGGATTTGTTTCACGCTCTTCACATTTGAAGACCACCCTTATACCCCTAATATAGAGGGGAAAAAGTTTAGAATTTTTACCTAAAATCTGCAGTTACCATGAGCTCCTATAGGCTCACTGAATAATAGGGAGCCTGCCCAATCTGACCATTAGTTTTGCAGAAAATTAGACACTAATACCAGATGACATGGTAGGGAAATATCACCTTCACAGCACCTCTAAGCTTTGCAGAGAGCTGTGCCTTCTGAGTGGTTTGCTTCCAACAGTTCAGAGCCTTTAGCTTACACACCAGCTTGCTTAGCCTGTTATTTTCATCCCGCAAGAGCTGCAGCTGTTCCTGCTAGAGAAGACGTCAGTAAGAGTAGACCTGCAAAGATTACTTTCCTCAGGAAGAAACGTGTGGTTTGGAAGTAAATACAATTGTCAAAGCATGCAACTATTTGTATTTCATTTTAATTTTCAAATGCTCGAACTTTGCAGTTTGAAACAGTGCAGCCTTTGGCAATAAATTCTATTACTGTGTCTCCAGGGAAACAGGAAATGTGAACATTGCCCAGAAGCTGGGAAAAAAATGGAAGAAATTTAATCCAAAACAGCAAGCAGGTAAACCCCTCTAAAATGAGGCACTGTTAATGGTGATAAACACTATTATGCCAAAGGGGGATTCTGGTTCATACCATCTTCAGTAACCTGGTTCACCCTAATCACAATATCCTTAATAAGAACAAAATCAGTGGATTCGTGAAAAGTATAGTCATCAGGTTTTCTTTTTCTTTGTTCAAAAGAGCAGACTCCTCCTGAAAACTGTTACAGAGGTTAGAGAGGACTGCTGGAGGTCCTGGCCCTCCTGGCAGAGGTGTCTCTGCACAGAAGCTCTACCATTCAGTGTCAACTCACCTTCTTACCCTTTGTGTCCTGTATTAGTTTTATCTACAGCTGGGCTTTGGCCTTCCTAATTTCATCACTATGGGTCTGAACTCTGACACTCTACCTTTGTTGCCTGTCCATGTTTCCACTACTTGCAATCTTTCTTTTTGTATTTTAGTCCTTTAAGAAGCTCCTTGCTAAGGCGAGCAAGGCCAAGTTTCTGCTAAACTCCCTGGTCTTCTTGCATAATGGGGTAGTTGGTTTTGAAATCTCTTTAAGTTTTCTTTAAAAATCAACCAGCTTTCCTCGGCACTTTTCCCCTCTTGGCAGTTTCCCAGGGATTCTGCCTAGCAATTCCCTAAGTAAGCCACAGTCTGCTCTCCTGAAGTCCCAAGTCCTAGCTCTGCAGCATAATTTTGCAACCTTTCTCCTGATCTTGAAGTCATTTCATAGTCACTGCACCCTCAGATGACACTCACCACCACAGTTTTTCCCTGTTTGTGAGCAGCAGAAGTGGGGATTTACCGTGGTTGGCTCCTCTAGCATTTGCTTTTAGGATATTATCACTAATGCTGACTAGGAACTGCCTAGGCTTTCACAATGCTGTTCCCCTTCCAGTAGATTTCCAGATGGACAAAACCTCCATGATCACCAAGGCCTCAAATCAAAAACACTTTTCTTAGCCCTCTATAGACAGGCCCATCTGATTTACTCTCTTGATCAGGCAGTCTGTAAGGGATTCTCCATCGCAGTCATTAATCATCACTAACACTCCTCCCTCCTCTGACCTTGACTCATAGGCTTTCAGTAGTACCTCTCTACATTCATACACGAGCTCTGTGCAGGGAATGAACTTCTTACACAGAGTGCAATTCTCGCTCATCTTCTTCCCTGCTGATCCTTCTTAAACGCCCTGTAACCAACCACCCATGACCATGGTGTGCACCAGCCCACCAAGTTCCCATGACTCTGCTCAAACCACAGCCCTTTGGCTGCACATGAGCTCCCCACTCTCCTTGTTCACTGCCTCTGCACACCATCCTTTCCAAGTGGGGATGTGGAAGTTTCCCTGCAGCCTTCTGACACACAGTCCTCCTCCATTTCCACGGTTCCTCATTTACTTCTGGGTGACCCTATCCCCCAGGTTCATTGCGCGTGTTGAAAGCCCTTCTCACTCTCTTAGCATTACAGTTATATCCTGCTTCGCAAGCTTCTCTGCTTGAGAGAGCTGCGGGCATATTTACTTTAGATAGAAGTATTCAGCCATTTTCCATTTGATCTCATTTGTATTCACTCACTGACTACCATCATTTTAGTACAAATTGAACTTTGCTGAGGAGGAATATGTTTGACTAGAAAAGGGGTTGATTTGGAAGTTGTAGCCTGGAAATGACTTCCCAGGCTTTAGTTTATAACTCCCAGAACATCAGTTTTGGGGGCACTTTTTCAAAACATAAAGCTGAATATATTTTTGATTCTAAGTAACCCCAAATGGAAAAAAGGATTCTGTCCCCATTCTTTTATGTGGCCAGCTTGCATGACAAGAAGATAAAACTCCCATCAACGCATTTATCAGGGTCACTGAAACATCACATTCTCTTTCCCCCACCCAAAAAAGGGACAATGACAACACATGACAATGCTAACATATGATTGAATGTGAGTTCACATTTATACCTCTTCAGATCCAAGTTCAACCTCTCTGATGTTCACCTGTGTAGAAAGCATGGTGTTAGTCTCACTCAGAACAGACTGAAAGCAGAGTTGCGAAGTTTAGAACCGAAATCAATTCAAATACGTGCAGTTTTGGGGTCTAAGGGCTGGGTTTGGCCCAAAATTTCTGCACTTGGAGCATAAACACACAGTCAAAGATGATTGATGCATGACAGCCTGACAAATGAGTAGCCATTAACAGAGTCTAGTAATGGACCACCTCCATGCTCTTCACCCAGCCGATGTCCCAGACAGAATGCAATAACTTAAGTCGTCTTCAGCAAGCTTAACCAGGATATTATCCTTGTGTTCGTTTACTGACACACGTATGTATTTCCTTACTTTAGACAAACGTTCTTTCAAGTCACCATTATTTTTAGTGGAGCCAAACTTTTTCTTCAGATCAATCATATTGTCAACTCCTTCTCTTCTCACTTCGCTGATGATTTCAAACATTCGTTGCTCAATGCTAAGGCGATAGACATCCAACTTTCCCTGCAATTACAAACAGAACCCATAAGAGATGAAGTGTGCGCATATGGGAAAGAAACATTCAGAAGATTTCAGAAGTCTCTCAGCTACAACCAGATGGTCCTTCTTCATAATTATTTTCCTAGAATCAATGTAACAGGAAGACAGAGCAATATTCTTCTTGCATACAGATACTACAAGAAGTGGAATTTCAATTGTATCATTTGCAGGCAACCTATTGGCAATCCTGGGATGTATGTATTTAATGGAAGTAGCAGCACCATGGTGAAAAAATAGGCTCTCTGGTGAAAACTGGACTCACCCTCAGGATTGCAAAAGAAATCACAATATTCCTCAAGTCACTACTGCCCTGGCCACAGACATTAATGGGCTTGTGGACCGTCAATCAAAACCCTGGGGATCTCATGGAGGTAGCTGCTCTATAATACACTTGGTCACAATCAGGTCAGTTTTTACAGGCTAGATTGGGGTATCTTATCTTTGTAAGTAATGACATATGTCACCCCAAAGAAATCAGTGCACTAGTTGAAAACAAAGGCATTGTTAGAGTGAGTAATACAATTACACAGTGGACATAAAGTTCCCAAGAAAAATAATGCAAAATATTACAAACCGAAGTATTATATCCAAAAAGTTCCCTCCACTGTATGTAACTAAAAAGAGCTTCCATCACTCTCTCTAATGTGGTACCTGTTCCATCAAGAATACGCCTCCTCTCTTAGAAAAGGTACGCTATTTTTCTACCAGACGTTTTTACAAGATGCTTCTAGCAGCAGGAGAAAAATGATTCACCCATTCATCCACCTGACACACTGCAGCAATTTATTCCTTTGAGTGCTACACTTGTTGGTAAATTATACAGCAGCACAAAAAAGACCGATTGAGTACCCCCTCTTATTCTGTACCTACTTTTAGATGGACACAAGTCACAAATAGGTTCCGCACTAATGATCCATATTCATCCCGTACTTCTTTTCTAATCTTCTCTTTGAGACCAAGATTTTCTTCCTCTAAGTCAGCGAGCTGGGCTCTGAGGGCAGTTATTTCCACAATCATGCCATGGCACAGCCCCACAATCTATCAGAGCAGAGAAAGTGAATGAGCAAAGCTAGGGATGGGCAAACACCATAGCCTAGGAGTAAATGATCCAGAGCTCTGAATATGTTGTCTGATACCTAATTAAGTAGAGCAAGAATATCTTCCTAACTGAGTGTCCCGATAAAAATAATCCATTGATGGTATGGAATAATCCATTTTGTACATCTCTGTTGGTTTTAGAAACATTTCTTCCCTGGAAACAGTAGGAAGAATTGTGGCAGTTCACGACCAATATTTGAAGGGGGCAAATGCGTACATAACCTTAAAATGCCTGTTTCTGGTCACCAGAAAAGAAAGATCTCCTCACTAATAGGTATGAGAACTGACAGAAGGAAATGCACACAGAGGACAGAGGAGCAGAAAGATTGGGGAGCAGGATTAGGGAATCTGATTTTAGGAGAAGATCCTGTGCCTGGCTCTGCTATGTTGGTGAGTCTGGCCTCCCATAGCATAATCTCCCCTGCCTCCAGAGAGAAAGTCAGAAGAACTGTGACCAGGCTTCATGCAGCAAGCTGTGAGGTAATGCATTTATTGGAGCAAATATTCTGTCTGCTGATAAGCTTGTACATACAGACCATTTAATACATGATAAAAACAACTATGTGTTCCATTTGTTGATATTTGACAATTAACATACCCTCAGAAAGGGCACACAGGTTAGCACAAATAGGAAGGTACGTGATAGAACTCAAACAGATTTAAATGACAGAATTTAAATTTCACATAGGCAGGTCATTGCTAGGTATAAATGTTTGGTCATTTTCATACTGCCGAACAGCATTTGCAACCAGATGAACACAATGGAGGAAAGCTAAAAATCATTCTTAGCATATTACGTTACTCAGATGATAAGAAATAGGCACAACTGCAGACTGTAGGCACAGCCAACAGCACAGTCTGCTTTCAAGGTTGCCTGGCACCTCCACATGCCAGATCTAAGTAGTAAATGCTAATAACTTCACTGGATTCTCACTGAAATTTTCTGTGTCAATTTTTTTGTCTAACAGCAAACACTACTGAGAGACTTCTGAAAATGAATGTTGGGGAAAAATACATGTATTTTAGCCCTGCTGAAAAATTCTGGTGATCTTTTTTCAGAGCAGCACTAGCTTTCCTCTGTTTTGGGTGTCTTTTTAGTAAAGTCAGCAAAAAGTTGGTCAAATCCTACGACTTTGTTGGAGAAATAAAAACAACCCACATGGTTCATGTATGTTCCTTAGAGACTTTTTAGTTTTTAAACTATCTGCCATCCCATTTTGGCTGATCATGCCTGAACCTTTCTCATGGTTTCTAACACCTCCACTGAGCAACTGAGCTTGCTCTTCAGACTTGCAATAGCATCTGTTAATTGCTTTAGGCTAGCGAGAAGTGGAACTGGGAGCAGGAAGTCTCTTCTGAGGTTGAAGCAGAGCCCAGAGGCTGTAGGCAGCTGGCCACCCTGGGCCACTTCGAGCACAACACAAATTAGACAGGAATTTGGTGGTGATGGGCTAGCAAAGTGGAGGGGGGGAGAGACTCCACTGCCCACAGGCTCCAGGAAAGTCCTACTGACTCCTCCTGTATGTTTCCACCCAGCTGAAACCTCACACGTGTTTCTCATTTTCTCTCTCACGCCAGCCTTCCCAAACATATGGACGGGACAGTGAAATCAGGGAAGAAGGACAGTTGCTGACAAGACACCGTACAGAAAAGGATATAGGGGAAAAAATGGGAAAAAACATGAGGAAGCAGGGCAAGAAACTGATATGAAGCCCAGAGAAGAACTGAAATCTTGTAGTCAGTGATGAGGACAGATGAGAAAAGGAGCCCAGGAATGAAATCCAAAATGCAGGTGTTCTAACACTGCTATGCAAACATCTCTGAAACCCAAGCAGTCTTCTCCCTAGTGTAGGTTTCTGTACACGCCTCTAGCAGTGGACTTTGTGTTGATGGAGCCAAGCCTCCAACTCAGCTAATAGATTACATGGATATCACATGATTCCACAAGATAGCATTTCTGATTTATTGGCTGGGTTTACTTCTTTAGAAATTTCCACCCACACATACCAGCTATCCTAAAAAACACAGCTGAAGCTGCAAAGTCAAGTACTCAGAACTTAAGAGGAGTTGGCTATGCAGCCATGATGTAGCATACCTGGTACCTACACTGCAGTATGGCCTACGTGCCTGACCCACTTCTTTTTTCTATCTATCTCAGTCAATGCACAGGACTGAATTGCTCTGGGAAGATGCCTTGTGAAGGAAGAGACCCGTCAGTAGAAGTTTAAGTTAGAAGGTTACCAGTATATCATCCATTGTGAACATGAACCACAGAACAGCAGGCCACTACCTTTGCCTTCAGGTTATCTTTGTTTTACAAGTCCTTCCAGCATGACTTCTGGCATTGAGCACAGAAAGAGCAGCCCCAGAGCCCCCCTAGCTTTCTTCTCAAAGGCTGTCACCATGGGTCTGCGCAGTGGGACTCTGTCCCAAATGAGACCACTAAGTACTACCAATCGATAGACTACCATCACCAACCTGCGTCAGAGCCATATCACTTTGGTTGCCACCTTCTTCCACTGCGTGCAGCTCCTGAAGCCAAGCACAAAGATGCACGGTGACTATGCTTGTGTAGCCCGACTCCACTTCAACAACTTCCCAGCCTGACAGCTTGACTTTATTTTTTACTTAGCAACTGCCTCCCACCCAGAGAAACCACCTTCCCCTGTTCTCGAAGAGTAGAAGCAATGCTCTGAGCATACTTGTTCTTTTTGGTAAAGCAAACGATGCTGCTGCTGGAGAATATTTTCATAAAACATGGAGTAGGTCTCAAAGTTGCTGCGCTCTCTGGCCATGATGTCACAGCCCAGTACGGAGAGACACTGTTGTAAATGGCTTTTTGTAAAAGTAACCTAGGAAAACAAAATAAGAAACCTTGCAGATGGCCTGAGTCACAAGAGTTGCTATATACAGCACGCATCAAAATGAAACATCGTCACCTTATTGTAAATAAAATGCTTCTGCGATATCAAAATGAAGCAAAAATATTCAGTGTAAATGTTTTTGCCCAATCTACAATTTCACTGAACTAATGGAAAACAGATTTGTCAGTTTTTTGACTGGTTCTAGCTGCAACTGCATAATGGTTTGTTTTTTTCCATCTGAAGCTAAAAGAGAATTTTTAGTACAGAAATTAAATCACCAGCTCAGAAACTGCCTGGACTGCAGTTGGGCCCCAACATCCCTTCTCTCAAAAAAATGTTTTGTGTTTTTTAACAAGAAGTGGTCATATTTTCATAAATAATTTCTTCAAATTTCACTGAAAAAACGCTAAAACTGCTTCCTAACATCGTGCTGGACCCCTGATTTAGCAATGACTCAGGAAGAAGAGTTCCCACTACTGAATCCATTAATAAAGTCCTGCAATCCTGCATTGCGGTTGCATATAAACCTCCAGCCCTAACTCATCTTCATATTATTATAGTCCTGAGAGCTGAAATATATCTGTCAGAAGGCAGTAGGGCAATACACAAGTTTGCTGCCAATGCTGCTATTACAAACCAACATAATTTGAATCTAAGCTCATAAGCTTAAGAAATGTTGTTTCTCTTTTAGGTAACTGATTGACAAGAGCTTTAATAAATAAAGCTGTAAACATGATTTAGCTGTTACTTAGATAGAAATGCAGAATATATACTTCTGTATCTGATTCTTGGTAGTTTTCCATCAGCCTTTGAACAAATGTTTCAACTATCTGTGGTCGTACAACTGAGAAATTTTCTTGCATTACCCTGTGTTTCCAGAGCTCTGCAGGAAGAGAGGGAGAAAAAAACCCACACAGAATAAAACCACACATCAGTGGGTATCACCGTCACAAAATATTGATCCTTCAGTAATGCCTGGGATTTGACACTGGGTACACTTTATATATAGCTTAGGGTTTCTCAGCTTTCCTAAAATGTTTACAACAAAAAGTAAATGTCATTGCAAACAGATTGCAAAGCCTGGGTTAAGCAGCAATATCAAATTCGTTCTGGTATCAAAGCCAGATGCAATTTCATTACAGACCAGTTCTGTCAATAATGACCTGGCCCACAATCGTGTATTGGAGTTTTCTGTAAATATTGAGTAAAGAATATGGCTTTTGTGTGAAATCGAACATTTCTGTGCACTAATTATTGCTGCCTGCAACCACAACCAGTGGCAGTAGGGCACATCTTTCTTCCCTTTTATTTCCACTTTTTCTTTGTTTTTCTATTTGTGCCTGTGAATACCCAAATTGCCCATACCCGTGCAGTAATTGTACCAAGTAAATACCTAACATACTAAAAAGTCTGGCATTTAAATTGCACTGCTAGGCCTTAAAATATTAACACTCCAACACAGGGAAGTAATTTCCTATCAGTCTGTTTCAGGCTGCTCACAAACTCCAGAATAATTAGTGTTCAGCCTTGTTTTCACAATTGTCATTGCAATGATTATGGCTAAACATTCGCTTTATAAGGAGAAGGTGAACTGTTAGATTTAGGGAATTGGAATCTGTTGAACAGACAGAATAAACAGGTCCATGTAGAAAGGTGTATGGTACCTCGGTACACAATTCTTCACAGCTTCCTGCTAGCTGTATTTCTGGAATTTCACATCTCACAATGGGCTCTCCAAAACAGAAGAGAGTTTCTGGACGGTAAGCCTTTTTTCATCAGTGATACCGTCCCCACAATTCGGCTGGTCCCTGGCCTCCAGATGGGCGCACAGGGAAGTGAGGAGCTGAGAGCAAATATGCTCTCCTGTTCACACGCAGGACAACTCTTTCTGCCTTTATGCATCAAGGCTACTCTTCCCACTCAAGGCCGGGGCTCCCGTCTTTCCCAGGAAGGGTATTTTAATTCTCCTTACCAGTGGGGAGACTGCTGTCTTGTCTGGCTCTTTCAGATGTCACTAGAGTCATCTCCTGGTTAATTTTCTTCTGCACATCATGGATCATGTGGATTTCTAGGCTTTCCAGAAGCTTTTGAAGCTAGAATCAAGCTTAATACTTAGCTCTTACTAAATCTCTATACTGCTTATAAAGCAACTTGCCAACTAGCAAAAACTAGCAGACTAAACCAAAGCAATCCTCTTTCCATTCTTCTCTAAAATACAGTACTTTCAGATACAGTATCAAGGTTAATATCATTTGGGGGTGACTGTATGCCTAGTGCTGTGCCACAAGTACTCTGGGTAGAGGCAGAGGCCCTGTTGCTTTGGGCTGTCCCAGGACCCGCACCTGGCCCCACACAGCAGAGGTGCCGTTGCAGAGCCTCCCAGGTCACCCACATCTGCCAGACTTCCCCCCACGACAGCCTCCACGGGCCCCCGCTGGACTTCACTTATCAGAAACCGCAGGAAAACATGACGCTGTGTGGTCCCCCGCAACACCCCACTAATAACCCTCCCCTTACCTGGTACACTTTCATTTCGATTTCTGATGCTCCTCTGGGGGGAAGTACATGCTGAGTGCTTGTAACGGGCTCTCCAAACCCCTCCTCTGTGCCTGTTTGTCTGACTATGGCTTTCATGGCCGGGTACAGGATGTCTGCACTAGAATCACCAAGACACAGGTGTTTCACACATTCTCTCTCAAAATTACTGTGTTTGCATTTACTGACCTTGGACCTTAACTTTTCTTTTTCTTCCCCTGCCCCTGCTCCTAACCCATGCAGAATATGAGTAAGTCCCAGCTCACTGCCTTAGCCCCACTCGACCTACAAGCGGGGCAGGACAGTCTCTTCTTCGCTGGTCCTGCCTTATTACATAGTTCAGTAATTTCTCCAATTTTATAATAATACAAAACTAAAACCAAGGGGAAGGAACAAGGGGTCAACCAGATAAAGCGTGGAAATCTGGTCACCGGTAACAACTTGTCTATCACCGTTGTTCAAATAGACCAAGCAACTCCCTCCCCCGGCTCTCCTTCCTATCTGATCGCGGGTTCGCTAAGTGCTTCTGAGTGCTAAGTGCCAAGGCAGACACGCACTTTGCTTTTAGAAGCAGCGGAGCCATTAGCAAGGCATATATACCTCCTTACATTTTATTGCTTTAATCATGCTGCCTTTTAAACCCTTGATGGCATGACACAAAGGTTAGCACAGAGCTCAGAGAGGGAACTAGGGAGCTCTCATCTGTGGGAGGGGACGGGCGGGGACATGGAGGAGGGAAACACTGGGATTTTTGGGTACAGTACATTTGGCAGATTGCCTGCTACGAAAGAGCTGTTGCAGGTGCCGCTACAGAATCTCCTCCTGCTCAAAGGCCAGCGTAAGCAAAGCCAGGGGCAGGGAGGTCACCTTTCCTCCCGGGAGGCAATAACTGCTCAGCCCGATCCCAGGCATCACCACAGGAAAGCTCTGGGTGCTCAGAGGGGCTGGGAGACGCTGAGACTGGGGCTCTCCCACAGCTGCCCAGCCCCACGGTGGAAGCACAAGCTGTTGCTCACTCTGCATGGAGAACTCGCGCCCCTGACTCCCAGCCCTCCTGCAACCCAGCCCTGCTCTGCCCCGGAGCTGCTCCCTGGGCAGAGTTTATAAATTAATTAGAGGCAAAGACTGTGCCCCCTCCGATCTGGAGGTAATGCATGGGAGGTAACGCTGGAATACAAATAAATGGAGACCAGAATGGAGCAAATCTGATACCAGCTCTTTACACACACACAGATTTTCTGTGACCGATTCAGACTTGTCAATCTCAAATGCCTTGGCCTTATAGGGACAGGCTGACTGAGCATTGCTTCCTCCATGCTTCGTTGCGTGACAACGGTGTTTTCCAGTGCCTTCATGCACAGATTTCACCCTTACTGTGTCATCTTGCTCTTTCACTTCCTTTCTTGCGGTTTCCGGGGACAAGGCTTTTTACAAAGTGATGTTCCATTTTCTGCTTTCAGAAGGGCCTCTCTGATGGAAATCTTCCAATTTTCTATTCTTGACTGCTCAAAGTTGAGCCAAGTGGGAGGGTTAGGAAGAATTCTGCTACAATTCATCTAACAGGCTTCCAAAATTTCCATTTATTCAAGTACTGTATTTAACATTGTTTATGGAGCCTGAAATACAGAGGCGGGTCACACGACTGAGAAGAATGCACTTGGAAAACATCATCAGCAAACAGTCTGAACAGACATTGAAAGAGGGGAAAAAACAACCATACTGAAAGAAAGAAACAAAAGGTAGCTCTCAAGCCTTCAGAGAAAAGCGAAAGTACTAGGTTAATTATAAGCAAAAATAAAGAAAGGTAGAAATAAAAAAAAAAAAGACAAGTGAAAGAGGGGGACAGGAGGAAAATGGATGGAGAAGGCAGAGACTTTTCTCATTTTTCATCTTTTCAGTTACTCTGGAATATTCTTGCATCCAAGGTAACTTACCCATATTGCTCACAAAACTCTTTGTAAAGAGGAACTGTATTGATATCCTCAGTCCTCAGCTTCAGCCTGCCCCATTCTGCCTTTAATACTTCTAGTTGCTTCCATAGTATCAGAAAAGATCTCAGCAAGCTGCATGATATGACAGGATCGTGATGCCTCAGCAAAAGTTTGGACGTCTTTTTGCTGTTCTGCAACCAGTTAGCACTTGAGTGACCCGTTTCTGCCAAATTCTGCTGGAAGTCACAGGGAAATGTTTTGCTTCAAAAAGCTATGACAAGCTTTTCACATGCTTTTCTTTGCTTAATAGCATCTCATGCAATATACGGTGGGACAAGTCATGCGACAGGCTATTGTGCAATCAGAACTTGCAACAGGGCCTTATACCAGTATCCTTCAGACCATGGTACAGGGAAAACTCAGGCTACTTTTTGATTGCAGTGAGTACTCACACACAGCAGAGATGGGGATAAAATTGCACATAAGTTAAATCCTTTGTTTTATTGCTGCTTTCCTCAAGTGAATTGCTTCAACAGCAGCACTCTGCTTGGTCTCTAACTAAAAAGTACTGTTACAGAAATCAAACTCTTAGCTCAGATCTTGAAGGAAGCAGACCTTAAAATAGCTAAATTGGTCCTTTCCATCCATTTTACCTTGCAAATAATCAGTGTGTCTGTTTTCCATCACAAACAGTTTGAATCTCTCCCCATTCCTTGAACCAAATCTCTGTGTAGTTTCTGGCAGGCTTTAGGTGCCCTCAGCAACCATTCCTCATATACATGTCCACAACGCAAGTACTCGGGGAAGTACAGCCTGGAAGTACCTTGCCTCTCCTTGACTAGATTTGGTTTTAGACAGTGGCCAGGCTGTTCCTTTCCTCTTTGCACTGAGTAGCTCTTGATAAAGAAAGAGCTGGACCTTCGGTGGGATGTGGGGAGAAGTCAGGACAGTCTCCGTTTTCTCCAGAAGTCTGGCGATACCAGCAGGCCCTCGAGGGGCGTCTCTCACTGAGGCTTCCCTCCACACCACTCAGGATTTATAGGAGACAACATTGTTCCCTTTGCTTTCTTACCAGACGGCCAGGAGTAGGTGAGGTTATCACGGCACACCTCAGGTCGAGGTCGCTTATGTTCACAGAGATTTGGTTGCAAAAACTAATGGGAGTCCTACACAGAAGCTGTACAGTCCCAAACAGAGTTGTCAGAGGTACCTGCTTGCTCTTAGCTAACGAGGCTCGACAGTCAGCGTGATCTTCCACAGCACAGCCGTAGCTGTTCTGCAGTACATCCTCCATTAAAAACTGCATTGCCACCAGCTCCCCATGAGCAACTCTTCGGTCGGCATCACGCAGGCAGCACAGGCACAGCTGGAGAGGAAGGGAGAGTCTCTGAAGGTCTGCTGCTCAGAGCTTAACAAGTAATAGCTAATCTCAGATAACTGTCAGCACGGGGCTTTTGTGTTAGAAACACAAATGGATTTCAAGCTTTTAGCACCATGGTCCTAAAACACGTATGCCTGTGCATAAAAATTGTTTGATTCTCTAGTTCTAGCACACTAGGAAAATGATAAGTATAGATTCATTATCAATAAAAATGCTCTGCTCTGCTTGAAGAAAGATCAAATGTGAAGTAAATGGTAAAATGGGCTTTTGGACAGGAAAGGGGGAGATGTTTTTTGCTCACTTCTGTTCTTTAAAAAACAAAGACAGGAAACGAGATAGTATTAGTTTTTTTCCTCCTGCATCATAGATTCATCTTGTCTTTACGTCTTTGGACATAAGCACAAGACTGTCTCACTGTACCTGCATGTTGTAATTTATATTAATTGTGTTGTTGATACTGACTGGAAACAATCCTCCATCCATTAGGAATGTCCTCCAAGGAAAATGCATGAGTGTCTAAAAGAATAAAGATGACTGTTCACAAATAAGAACAACATTCAATTAGTTATGAGAGTCCCATCTAATCTGATCAGGAAAAGGCAACTCGGAGGCCAAGCTGCTATTTGATATGTGATACACTCTGCTCTGACTTTGAAAGTAGGCCATGTACTGGAAAAGAGAGAAGCATCTATTATCACTCCTTGGGAAAGAAGCAATAGGATTCATTCCAGAATACATTTCCTACTAAGATGCTGTGCTACTTCTGCGTCCACAGAGTAGCTCCCAGATCCTCACCTACCTACTGTCAATCATTTATTGCTGGTCCTATCTCGGAGGCATCAGGACATCTTATTCATCAAAGATGTCCAGATTTTGCGTGACAGTACAAACTCTGTTTCCCAGTTATGCTAAGGAGGTCCTATGTGTCATTGTCACCTAAATCAAGGCAGGGTGGCAGAAAATTGTATTCCTGTAACTCATTGTTTGGGAAAGGCATTATTAAAGGTGAAACAGTAGTATCTGATATTGGACAATTAGCAGGATGGGATGAAAATGAGGAAACATGAAGTTAGAGTGATTATTTAAAATTGCCTGTTACCTTGGAACATGGTAATATCACCAGCAAGACTCATCTTTACTTTCCCTAACATGACACCAGCTTTTTTTGCCGGTGTGATTCAAGGTGCCTCTTTAGCACATAGGTATCTAATTTGGCATTATGTAACTCTGTGTGATGCTAAGACACCACTAGACCTAAATATCTTGCACACAACCATGACAGACATGTTGGGCAATCAAAACTGCTGCCAGGTGATGAGAAGGGTAATTACCCTTCTGAGGCGTAATTGAAACTGAAAGTTAGTAGAATTACCAACATCTATCATGCAGAGTAGTTCCGTTTTGGTGACATCAGTGTGATTACATTCCATTTCAAATTTTTATTATTCACTTCTGTAGAGAACATTTTTTAGAATTCCTAATGGTGAATCAAGTTAATAAGCTGTAATAATGGGAATTTTTAAAATTAGGTATTAGCAGTTAGGTTCTTTGCACCATGGTAGGGAGGATTAAGCGCCTCAGCAAGAACTGCAGAGGACTTTGTTCTCCAAGGAGCTCAGTGCAAATGGAGAAGGAGCACCTCTGAGGGTGCGCTTTACTCACCGTACAGCTTTGAGGATCCAGAAGCCGTGGGAGCCTTAGCTGTGAAGCAAATGCACTCTGAATCGCAGAGTTACTCAATGAAGGCAGCACATGGTATATTCTGTCTGTTACACTCTGGTAGGCTGAAACATTCCCCGAGGACAAAAATGTCTCCCTGAAAGGAACCAAAATGTTTGTATTAAAAAGAAGTAAAATGACTTCAAAACTCCCCAAATGGTTTGTAATAAAATTACCGGCTCCTCATTATAACCCAACATGGTAGCGAGTGATAGGGATAGCAGCAGACATGATGACTAAAACAAACAGGCAAAAATGTTAATGATGTAGATGCATGTGTGAAAGTGCATCTGACTGGAGACATTTACAGCAAAACATACATCTATGCTAATGGAGACGGCTGCTCGATTAGCTAATAGACTGGATAATAATTCAGGAGCTCTACTACCTCCTATTCCTGATACTAGGATAATTTCCTACACAGAGTGGGAGAGCCACTAAAACTTTTCAAAGTTTTCAAAAGTGCTTGTGAAGCTTTGGAACCTAAATTATAGGATACCTGGAGTCCAGAGCTAGGTTTAGCAGCAACACTCCCCACAGATTTTCATGAGACCTGGTCTCACCTAGCAAATGCACCTGGTCTCACCCAGCAGTGCAGGTGACACCAGAGCCCAGCTAAACCAACAGAGTGCTGTTCCCACACAGGTGTATAGCGCTTCTGGGACCCAGCTGGCTCCTCTTGCTTGGATTGCATTGTGCTATGCAATCACACACATAAAGCTACCTTTTACTACACTCTATGCATCATGTAAATGTATTACCCAACCAAACTTAGACACGACTTTGTCATTTCATTGCAGCCTCTTTGTCACATTCAATTCTCCTGTGCTTCATTCACACACTTTTAAAACAAAGAGTTCCTGTTCAACCAGTTCTTGCAATATAAGAAAACACCTAGACTGCAAGTCTTTCTGTAGCTTCACATCCTCCTTTGAATGGCAACTCTAAGATAAGGATCTTGTTCTTTTGTTTTTGTCAAGCATACATAAGCGCTTTTAAATATGACATGCAGTTTGTATCAGTTGCAAGACTAAAAGGAATTACAGGGACAAATAACAGCTTCCGGGATCAGACTTGGCAGAGAAGTTCAAAAGAGAGTAAATGTGATTTAGTGTCACACTGTAAGCCCTGGTGTGGAGAAAATGGAAACTAATTGCACTGGCAATAAGGAACAAGAAAGATGAAGCATCTGATATACTGCATTTCTTCTTACTTCCTGTTAACACACAATTCCTTGCCCAAGGAAAACATTTTCCTCACCAATTGCCCCTACAGTATTTTAATCAGGAAAAAAACAGAAGTAAAAGCACAAGGTAGTTTTACCTTCTTGCGAGTCTCCAGAAAAATCTTTAGTCTACAAATACGTACAATCACAACTCTGCTGGATAGCACAAGAGTGGTCATACTGAGTCAGAGCAAAGGTCCATCCAGCCCAGAGTCCTGTCTCCCACAGTGATCAAAAGTGGACTCATGAGAAGATTACAAAAATCTCCAGAACAAGCATATTCTGATATTTCCCACAGATATTCTCACAGCCTCCAAGAATTTGTAGCTCAGGTATTTCCTCAGCCAGAAGTGATTGCTAAATGTTTAATAACCCTTGGTAGATTTGTCTTCCATGAGCCTGTGCAGTCTCCCTCTGAGTCCTATGAACTTTTACCACCCACGATGTCCTGCAGCAAGAAATCCCATGGCCTAATTACAAGCCATGTGCAAGAACTGCCTTTTTTTTGTTCAGAGCCGGCTACCTGATGTTCACCTGGGATGCACCTTACGCTGCAAAAGACTGTGAGCAGACACTCCTTGTTTATCCCCTGCCTTCGACTGACGGTTTTACAGGGCTCTCCCCCAGCTGTACTACTTGTTCCACCCAGCAACCTTTCATCATATGTGTGGCTCCTTTGGGAACCTTCCCGAGTTCTCTGTCCTTCCTCAGGTGGGGACCAGAACTGCGTAGGCTTGACAACACAGATTTATTCAGCGGTGCAGCGGTGTTCTAATTTTTGCTCTCCTAAAGGGAATCAATTTGCTTTTTGCCTTTTTTTTTTTTTATCGCTACTGAGCTGAAATTTTGACAGAATTATCTGTCATAACTCTGAGATTTCATTACTGCACGGTAATGGTCAAGTCAGGGGCTGTCATTTTATATATTGGGATTGTTTTTTTTCCCCAGGTGCATCATTTTACTGACACACTGAACTCCATCTGCTGTTTTATTTTGCAGTCACTCTGTTTTGTAAGGTCCTTCTCCAGCGAGCCCTTGCCCTTGGTATCCTGGGTATCACAGTGTCATGTACACGCTGTACCACCCCAGCTTCAGTCCCTTTTCAATGCCATCTATGAGCACCTGAACAGCACAGGGGAAAGCTCAAACTCCTGTGGGAAGCCACTGGTAACCTCCCTTACCCACTGCAAAAGTTGCCCATTTACAAACTTCTCCTTCCTAAATCTCAACAAATTATTTACAAATGTGACCATCTCCTCACACATCCAGTGGCTGCTCAGACTCCTTAAGAGACTTTGTTAAGGCTATTAGAGCTTCCAGGGAATCCAGACAAACTGTGTCAACCCTTTATCCACGTTTGTTAACACCTTCAGAGAGTATGTTTGTAAGGCATGACTGCACTTTCCAAAAGCAGTGTTGACTCTTCCCAAATACATCATATTTGTCCATGCATCCACTTCATTACAGTTTCTGCTAATTTGAACACTATGGATATCAGGTTTATCAGCCTGTGATTAGCCAGATCACCCTCGCAATCCTTTTTAACAACTGGCAACACATCAGCCACTCCCAGTCTTTGGGTGTTAAGGCAGTGTTAAGCAAGAAGCTACACACCACAGCTAGTACTTTGGCTTCTTTAAAAAAAAAAAAACAAACAAAACCTTGAGTTCTTTCAGAATTCTTCAACATTGTCTGGTCTTGCCAGCTTGTTCATCTTCATTTCATAACTTTCCCCGGCAACACTTCCACTTGCAGCAGCTCCTCTGATGCATCGCCCATAAAGAAAGGTTTTAGTGTGGGAACCTCCTCAAGTTCTTCCACAGGGAGTACAGAAACAAACAAATCACTTTTTAAAATGTCTGCTATTGACTTATCTTCACTGAACACTCCTGATCACCTATTGGCCCTACGGACTCTCTGGCAGGTTTCCTGCTCCTGGTATATTTGAAACAAGATTTATTATTAGTCTTGATGCCTTCAGCAAAATTGTTCCTCAAAATCTTTGCTGGGCTGTCTTGAATCCTTTTACATTTACCCTGTCACAGTTTATAGTCCTTTCTGTTTTCTTCATTTGAATGGAAATTCAGCTTTTCGAAGGATGCCTTCTTGCTTTAATAATCTGTTTAATCCTGCTGCTTAGCCATGCCAGCATCCTCTTTTACCCTTTCTTAAGTCTTTCTTCACATGTGGTATGCATTTCTTGAGTGCCTCCAGTATGTCCCCAAAGAGTCTCCATGCCATCTGCAAGGATTTAACTCCCCCAGCTAATCCTCCTAGGTTTTTTTCAGCACGTATTCTCATTTTTAGGTAGTTTCCCATTTTGAAGCTGAGCTCAGCTATGCTGATATTTATTTGGCTTTCACTGTTCCTTCAGGGATGTTTTATGCAAGCACATCATGGCTGCTCTTAGAGAACGGCTCTTTAACTGCAACGTTTTGAACTCGGTCCTGCGTGTTACTCAAAACTAAGTCCAGGAGTCGTTTCTCTTCCGGCTAGACTCCCTAGCCTGTCCGCCCCACGCAGGCTACACCTACAACTCCAGCCTTGCGTCCTGCCACCACGTGGTATCTACAGAGGGGAGGAGACTTGAAATTTCCTTTACTTTTGCATGTCCTGCCCTTGTTTTGGTTCTGCCAAGGTTATTCCGTTGAGTACGTGCAAACCTCTCTGTGACCATTATTGACAGAAAATATACGGGAGGAGAGCAGGGAGAAAAGACAGAGAGTTACTTTTTAGAAAGTCCTGAAAAGTGTGTCTTAGTTGGGTTTCTGTGATGGGGTAAATAACATTTTACAGGAGGGTAAACCTAGACCTCGGTATAAGCAGATAAGTCCTGTGCCTGCTTATTAAGCATTCTTTGATAGAGGAAAATACAAAATCAAATGTAGGTCCTGCAGCAAAACAAGAACATGAACTCAGAAGTCCACCTCTGTAGCAGCTACCAGCCTCCCTGATTTAGTAAACTATCACAACATAAAGGTGATACAATGCGCAGACAATGGGACAGCTGTACTCAGACATGGTGTGTTGAGATCCCTCAGTGAAGCATGTAAGGACTCTCACCACTTTTAGTTAAAGGAAAATTGGCACTTTTAGTGAAAGGAAAATTTCTACACTTACAGGGCACGTTTCAAGATCTTGGGGCAGATACCATGGACAAAATTTAAATTAATCTTTCCTACATTTTTTTCTTTCTTTGTAAACAAAAAAAAAGCCTCTTTATAAAAAAGGTGCCAGTCCCATCCCTAACAGGCTGTAATTCCTACCATAGTCGGTGCCTAATTGCTGCATCAAACTGTAGAAAGATCACTTCTCTGTGAACGGCTAGCAGCTGGGCTACTTCGCTGGGATCCAGTGGATTCTGGAGGCTGTCAATCATTTTCTGTATCTCTTGAAGTTCAGTCCCTAGAATCCCAAGAACAGTAAGTTTATCAGATAAGGTCTCAGGAAATGCAGGTAAAAATATCGCAGTTCAGTAAGCTCTTTTTTCCATTAGGAGTTTTGTACTTCACGACTTTCTTCATTTTTCCTCTTTCCCCTGAGAGGCAGAAGAAGAATGCATTTATATCCCCCTCAACACTACAAAACCAGGATTTAAGAAAAGAGATTATGGCAGGTGGAGAATTATGAGGATGTAGTAAGGTCAGGGAGGAAAAGGCATAGGAATGAAAAGTTACAAGCTTCTCAAAAGAATGGTTCTTTCGTTACCCTTTCCCATTAAAAAGTCAATTATTCTAAAATACCAACAAGAACAGTGGTATATCTTTCTCATTATCATATCTGGTTGGACTAGATGATTGTTATAGGTCCCTTCCAACCGAAAATATTGAGATTAAATTTGTCAGACAGAATCAGGTCCTGAGATAGCATTTTACTTACTCCAAAAGTCTAAGCTAGTTATTACCTGGTAGAGAATGATAGGGACAACTTCTCCAGCTGCTTTCAATAAAATACTATTGGGGCTCAATTCTGCAA